CGAAAAAAAAAAAAAAAAAAAAGAAAAGAAAAAAAGAACAGGAAAGAAAGCTGACGTCTAAATCATACCCAGTGACCCAGACTCGAGATCATGAGATACAAAGAATCATGCCGGCCGACACAATAATTACAATGGCAATAAATAATATTACTACTACTACTACTACTACTACTACGACTACTACTACTACTGCTGCTCCTGCTTCTGCTGCTGCTGCTGCTGCTGCTGCTACGACAACGACGACGACCGCCACCACCAACAACAACAACATAATAATAATAATATTTAAATAGCGCATATATATCCACGCTCTGCAGCACGCTCTATGCGCTTTACAACCATTTAGTAGTATATTATATGCTAGTACTTGCCAGAGTGCCAGTTTTGTCACAATTGTATATGTTTTAGGCCTCAAACACAAAATGAGAGATAATTTGGTTGCTTCATTACTCTGCTCGTCAGGCACACCCCAGGCCGAGTGAAATATAGCATCCTGGGAGAAAGAGACGATCGATTCGAATTTATATAATATTCCCCAAGCGGGATTCCAACTAATGTCTTTTGAGAATGAGTCGGACAGCATGCTGTGATTATGAAATAAAGCAAGAAGACCTAGAAAAACAGGATTGTCAATTTCTCACTTGAGACAGCACGACAACGACCACTTAATGTTCACGGTTTTTTCCCGCCCATAGAAACAAATAGAAGATATAATGACCATAATGATAGTGGGACCCCCCTCCCCCCCCCTGCCAGTGGAGCCTTCCAACAACCCACAACGACGACGATGAGAATAACAACAACACTGTCACCACGACCCAAAAAAAAAGCAACAACAAAAATACAACAACAACCAAAACCGCAAGATCAACAGAGAGATACCTGCGAGGGGTACCCTCCAACCACCCACTACTTTGACTCAAGCAGACAATGATAATACATGACAGTACCACTGGACAGAAACAGAAGTACATCTGTAAAATTTGATGATCGCCCCACAGGAACAATCACCGACAGAACAAAACGACGGACTACCAAAAAGACTCAAGTCTGTGACAAAGAAAACTCAGTAAAAATTAAGAGCACGAATCTGACCCCAAAACAGAGAAAAACTGAAGATTGAAAAAAAAAAGAGAAAAAAAGAGGAAAATACCGGATAAGGATGGGACAGACGTTACTGTACACAATCTCACTGTTGTTGAATAACGATTACAATACTGTTACATGTATAAGTTCGAGCAACGGTCACTATTATCTTCCATAAAGAATACGTTACATTTACCTGAAACCCTGCACAACTCTGGATACTCATGGTTTTATTAAACTGTGTGTCATGTGTGTATCTACACCTATCTATCTTTCTCTCTCAGGTGTGTGGATAACTATAACAAGTATTTGCACCAAAGTTCTATTAACTAACTGTGAAATATTTAAGAAGTTATTTATGTACATCTGTATGCGTTGTGCTCCCTACCTCAAGACAGACCCAAAACAAGAATTTTGATAGGGATGTGTGAACTTCACAGCGTTCTATTCTGTGCCAAGGTATCTCTCTACCAATAATTTCAAAGAAAGCAATAGTAGTATATGTGCAACTATAACTATAACAATTATAATAATATAAGAAGAAAAGGATAATAAAGTAGTTTTCCCAAGATTTAAAACACATAAAAATTAAGACACAAGTCTTTAAAAAAGTTTTCTACATGCACTATAATCAAACCTTATCACAAAAGTCTTTTTAAAGTTCATTTCAACTTGAGTTTCTATACGACTATTCCTGACTCTCGATGCAGCTGTCACTAAACAGAGATATTAACAAAACATGACGTGACACTGAGCATGTACTGCCAAACGTTCCGCAGAGATACCACAGGGATTTTGTGAAAATAACTTGAACATTTACAAAGCTGAATTTGCAAACAAAAAGATAGTTAATAATACACTACCGATCAAAAACCAAAGGTACCACCCTATGTTTGATGGATTCTTTTTTTTTTTTTTAAATCAAGTAAACAATAATTCTTTCATGCGCTAAATTGTTTTGTTGGTTGTTTTTTATAATTAATTTTACGCCCCCATTGACAACATTTTGATCATATAGGAGGCGGGTAGAGAGTTAAGAGGGATACAACATGCCAACAGAAAGACCAAGATACTCGATATAAATAATTTTCTTTCCACGTACCCCCAACTCTCAACATGGCGAGTAGTTGATCTAACAGAAAGAAAACTGACAAAAACTCGGGCAGACCAAGCTCAACAACTTTAACAGGTGGTTGGTCTAGGAGAAGGAAATCTCTTATCTCAAAATCTGAGTAGATAAAGCTCACCAGCTGGGGACAACAATCTAAGTGACCCACCCACAGCGACCGGTAGTCACCACCCTTTGGAGCGAGGAGCCAGATGCCAGAGAAGGAGGGCCAATACTACTGGCCAAAGAACAGTCGACGCAAAAGAGGGCGCCAGACTGCAATGGAACGCAGGGGTACTCTATCATCACAAAAAGAATCCACTCACAGAGAGATTACACACAGAGACAAAATTGATGCTGCCTGTCTCCAAGAAACGCATCTGTTTACAGTAAGAGACTCTGAAACCTTCAAGACGGACATGGAAGAGCTTGGGCTAAGGGCGGGGATTTTTGATACTGGTAAGAAACAGCATATTATCTCTCTCTCTCTCTTCTGGCGCTGTGGCTTCATAAGCGGTCTGCGATGCCGACAGCACGCAGGAACTCAACACTCGCCCGGGGGTCCTTAAAAAGTGCTGAAAGTGGGTTACTGAAATGTCCCAGCAGACGGGTTCTAGCACGATAGCTGGCGGGACACCTCAGGAACACATGGTCCATAGTTTCGTCCTCCTCCTTGCAGGCTCGACAGGATGGATCTGGGTTGTCTGCTGGCGCAATTTTGCGGAGATATGATCTCAGCTTGGGCGATTTTCCACCAGTTCTCATTTGGGAGAGAAGCCGGCGGTCCTGTCGTCTGAGCGAGGCCTCAAGCTGGAATGACGGCGGCTGGGCAAACGGCAGTTTGGGTTTCGCCTCTCTTTTCCACTTTGCGCGGGTCGATCGGTGGATGACGGCTTTAGCTGTCGAGAAATTGATTGGCGTGTCAATCTGGGTAAGCGCTGTTGCTTCTTTGGCGATGTTGTCAACTTCCTCGTTCCCAGCCAGTCGGGCGTGGCCTGGAATCCACTGTAAGTGGATGGAACATTCAGAGCGTTGACAGAGGGTGTGCAGATGTTGCCAGATTGAGCAGGCCACCTTTTCCGATTGGTTGGTAGGGCCGTATGAGAGGCGCATGACTGCTGATCTAGAATCAGTATATACATGGATGCGTGCACTGTTCGGAAGGCTGCCTGCTGTATGTAGTGCCACAAGCATGTCAAGCGCTGTGTCGAGAGCTACAAGCTCGGCCCTGTAGCTGGAACAATACCGGCCCGCAGGTACACGTTGGTCGAGTTCGGTATCACCGGTCTTGATCAGTATTCCACTTCCTCCATACTCAGTACCGTGCTCAGCTGAACCGTCAGTCCAGACTTCTACATCGGGCAGGGGGAGCGAACGAATTGTAGCCTCTGCTGCTGCTTTCCTGACAGCTGGTTCATTAGCACGCTTGCAGTCGGCGACAAGATCGGTGCTAAAAGTCACGTTGTATGATGCAGCCTTCCACGGTTTTGTGGGGGGGGGTAAAACAACCAGCTCCTCACGTGGGTACGTATCCAGTTCAGTTTCGGCTACGAGGTTCTGGGCATGCTTTCTCCAGTTCGACTTGCATGTCCGCGTGGGCACTGATTTTGTTGCGGAGGCTTTGCGTTGGTTCGTTGTAGGCAGACGCATGGACTTCTCGAATGAGATGGCAGTCAAGGCATCAGCTCTATGCCTTAGTGGTAAAATGTCTGCTTCGATGAGGAGGCTGTCCACACGAGTATCCTTTGAGCAGCCTGTGATGATTCTTGCTGCTTCATTCTGCTTTCTTTCCAGTTTCTGCAGATTGGAGGGTTTGGCAAGAGGCATGTAGGCAGGGGCACAATAGTCGATAGCTGACCGACAAGTAGCATACTATATAGGCTTTATGCATTCCCTGGAGGCACCCCAGGTGGTGCCTGTAAGGGCTTTCAATGGTCGAAGTCTGCTTGACAGTTTTAACTCAAGGTTTTGGATGTGGGCGTTGGAGGATAGAGTACGATCAAGTGTAACTCCAAGTAAGGTGGGGTTGGAGTTGAAGGTGATGGGGGCGCCTTTGAGTGAGAGTGCTGGTTTTCGCTTGGCCTCGTGGGTGCTGGTGGTGAAGAGGGTGCACTCTGTTTTCTCCGTACTGATTTCCATCTTGTTTTGCTTTGCCCACTGCTCAAGTAAGTTTATGGCTGCTTGGACACTGTTTTCAGCCTGATTTATGTCTTCGTTGGTGGCGTATATTGTATAGTCATCAGCATAGAGTCCCGTCTTCACGGTTTCAGGCAGGCCTGCTTCAATATCATCGATGAAGACAAGGAACAGTGTGGGGGACAGGACACTGCCCTGGGGGACTCCCTGCTCGAAACGGCGAAGCCTGCTTGTTGCGTTGCCGTGCTCGACGCAGGCGTATCTGTCTCTGAGGAACGAACCTATCCATTGGGTGATGCGGCTGGGAGTAGATTTCTCAATCATCTTCTCCATTAACCTCGTGCGCCATACCTTGTCGAAGGCACGCGAGAAGTCCACGAGGGCCAGCACAGTTCGTTTCATTTTGGGACGAGCCTGGAATCCATCGGAGATATGTTGTGTTAGGCACAGGACTTGGTCTTCAGTAGACCGTAACTTGCGGAAGCCCGATTGGTTGTTGCTCAGCAAGTTGTTACTCTCCAGAAAGAACATCAGGCGGTTCTTGACGAGGGTCTCCATCAGCTTAGCAAGGCAGCTGGTGAGACTGATGGGGCGGTAGGACCCAATCTTTCCTGCAGGCTTATTCTTCTTGGGTATTGGTATGATTTTGGCACGTCGCCAGCTGTTTGGGACAATGGCCATTTCCCATGATAGGTTGAAAAGACGGAGCAGGGCAGGGTTTGCGATGGGTCCGAGGTGTTTGATCATCTCATTGGTTACACCATCAAGCCCGGGAGATTTGCCGTTTTTCAGCTTTCCTATACAAACTGTCAGTTCAGCCATGGTGAGGAGAGAATCATAGCCTGTGTTCTGGTCAATAGGGAGGAGTTTAAGCTTTTCATTAAGCTGGTAGTGCCGGTGTTTGTCTGCCTTGTCGAGTTTTAGGCGGCTGACTGAGGCGTATTCACGGCAAAAGGCTTCAGCCTTGCTTCTATCTCCTTTTAGGGTTTTATTGTTTTCTGTGAGTGCACTGCCGGTGGAGGGGGTTTTCTTGCCTGAGATGGCATTTATGACTCGGAAGACTTGTTGAGGGTCAGTCGAGAGGGACATCTCTGAGGTAAAGTTGCGCCAACAGTCGCGCTTCATCTCGTTTAGGCGGGATGTGGTTCTTTTAGACGCCTTTTGGTAGTTTCCAATGTCTTTTCGTGTTTTGGTTGCCATGGCTTTTTTCCTTAATTGCACTTTTCTTCTATCAGTTTGTCCGCTTCTTCATTCCAGAAGGGTTTAGGAAGTTTACGAGCGCCCTTAGGGATACTTTGTTTGGCTGCTTTTAAAATGGCCTCAGTTAGGCACGTGTTTAATTTTGTGGCGTCCGTCATGTTAGGCATGTCATTTGCTAAAGTCTCTGTTTCCATGTGGGCATTGAACAACGACCAGTCAGCCTTCTTGAAGGACCATTTGGCTTTGCTCCTACGGGTGGGGGCAGAGTGTCTACAGAGTTTGATTTCGATGGCTTTGTGGTCAGAGACCAGGGTGTCACTGGTTTTCCAAGAGACATAAGCAACCTGTGAAACATGACAGAAGGAAATATCAGGGACTGATTTGAGCATACTGCTCGGGTCGATTCTTGTTTCGCAGCCGTCATTGAGGGCAATCATATCATTGTCGAGGGCCCAGTCATCAATTTCTGTTCCGGTGGCACACTGGTCGACGTAAGGGTCCCACGAAGGGTGATGGCAGTTGAAATCGCCTACGACGATGGTGTTTGCATCAGTCTTGAGTACGTGGGGAACGAAGTTACCTTTGTGGCGTGGCGGGATGTACAGGTTGACGACTTTAAGGGTTCTGCCGGGTAAGTACAAGAGTGTGCCTACGAATTCCGTTGTGGAGTCGGGGTTGGTAACTACTCCATCATGGAATCGGTGGTAGGTAATACCATCTTTAATCAATGTCGCGACCCCGCCTCCATTGTTTCCGTCATCTCTGTCACTTCGTTCAATAGAGTAACCAGGCACACAAATGTCTATATTTCGACTTAACCATGTCTCTTGAAGGCAGATAATGTCTGGGTGGTTGGTGTCGATATGCCGAAGGAGCTCAATTTTGGCACTGCGCAGGCCTCTGATATTCCATTGGAGGATGTTTAGGGCTCGATTGTTCTCCTTCTTCATACGGCGGGTGCGCTCATGGTTCCTGGCATTAGAGTCCGTGCAACGGTTTTTACGGTGCAATTGTCTGACGTGCCGTTGTCGAGTCTTGGGTCGGTTTGGGTCGAGTTGTGGTGGAGGTGTGTAGACAGGTTGTGGTGGAGGCGTGTAGACGGGTTGTGGTGGAGGCGTGTAGACGGGTTGTGGTGGAGGTGTGTAGACGGGTTGTGGGGGAGGTGTGTAGACGGGTTGTGGGGGAGGTGTGTAGACGGGTTGTGGTGGAGGTGTGTAGACGGGTTGTGGTGGAGGTGTGTAGACGGGTTGTGGTGGAGGCGTGTAGACGGGTTGTGGTGGAGGCGTGTAGACGGGTTGTGGGGGAGGTGTGTAGACGGGTTGTGGGGGAGGTGTGTAGACGGGTTGTGGTGGAGGTGTGTAGACGGGTTGTGGTGGAGGTGTGTAGACGGGTTGTGGTGGAGGCGTGTAGACGGGTTGTGGTGGAGGCGTGTAGACGGGTTGTGGTGGAGGTGTGTAGACGGGTTGTGGTGGAGGTGTGTAGACGGGTTGTGGTGGAGGCGTGTAGACGGGTTGTGGTGGAGGTGTGTAGACAGGTTGTGTCGCTGCTCGTAGCGGAGGTTGCGCTGCTCTAATCGTACAAGAGGGGCACGTCCATTCTGCGGTAATGCGTCTTCCCTTCTTCGTTGATGGCAGGCTTAGCATCTGTTGTCGGGTGAGGTCAGAGCATTGGAGGTGGACCCACAGAAGACACTCCTGACATCGGGCCGATACTGCTTTTGCAGGCACACTGTCGCCGCATACTCCACAGGGCCAACGGGGTCCCGGATTCTGCTCCACGTCCCCGGCCAAGATCAGCAGGCGGGCCAGCCAGGCCGGGTTATGCTGGCCGCCAAGGAAAAACCCGGGCGGGTTGTTGAGGTCCTGGTGTTCCAGGTGGGTCGACGCGTTCTGCAGCTGTCGCCTTGGTTTGTCGGTTGGTAGACTGACATCCTTCGGCAACAGCTGGCGGGAGCACCATCTTGCAGGCTCGTCGTTCGCTCCCAGCATAATATCTGCAATGGATCTCAAATAAGACACACTCCGGCAAATTGAGATAAGAGGAGTGAACATTACACCTGACAACACTACCCTCACTATCTTTAACCTCTATATCTACTGCCCCCAGGACAAAGACTTGTCATTACACATGATGAACAAATCAACTGAAAACTGTTTAGCCACTGGATCTGCTGGGCCCATGCATAAAATGATCGAAGAGGAGACGGAGTGAAAGCTTGGGAGACAGAGGGCTACATGATCCTGCTGAATGACCCAGATCCGCCCTTCTACTGTCGAGGATGGATGGCAACATCATCACCTGACCTAGCATTTGCAACAGGACACAGCTGGGAAAAGCAAGCAGAACCATACAGTAGAGCCAGCTGGCAGGGAGCGCGAGCGCTCCTTATGGTTGACTTTGCCTACATTATTCAAACCCAGTGACAGAAAAACGTCCCCAAGGTGGAACTACAAGTAAGAAAATGGATCAGCAAAAGTTCACCTGTCTGACGACAGCAGCTAAAGGATCAAGACAAACGACTCCAACATCTACAGAGTTGTTGATATCTTCAACCGATCAGTCTTAAAAGCATCCCACATGGAGCCCGCAAAAAGTATACATCTGGACGAGAGAACTAGAATAGATGAAGTCAGTGCAGCAAGCACAGAGAAAGAAAACAATCCAACCATTGAAAACAACATATTCCTTAAGGGGACTACAGCAAAATATAGAAAGACATATTCAGGTAGCTAGAAAAAGCAGGAGATAAAATGTAAAAAAAAAAAATTTAGACAGGAATGGACAGAAACTGTGGAAGCTTGCCAAAGCTTAAAATAAAGAAGAAACAAGATCCTCTCAATCTGCAATGAAGACAGGTCAGCATACACTAAGCGGGAGGAAAGCAGCTCACTGCCTTATCGACAGCTACGAAGACGTCAGCAAAATTGAAGTACACGAGGACTGAAAAAGCATGTCCACAATGATTTGAAAAAAAAAATTGAGCAAAACCAGATTGTCCCGTACTACATGCACATACCCTTCACTATGAATGAGCTTTAAAAAGCAATGGCAACTCTGAAAGACCTGAAATCCCCAGACAATGACAAAATTATAGATGAGAAGCTGAAACACCAAGGTTGTCAAGCCAAATCAGTTCTCCGATCTACAATCGTAGTTGAAAGACAGGACAAGTCCCCCAGGCCTGGCAAGACGCTATTGCTGTGTCATATTTAAGAAAAACAAAACAGACAGGACTTTGATAGCTACTGACCCATAAGTCTCAACATGTGAGTTGGTAAACTCATGCAAAGAACGGTCAACAGACGATGTATGGAGAAGAATGACATTCTCTCACAAATATGCAGGCTTCAGGCAGCATTGCTCAGACTCAGAACAGGGCATAACCGCCTGAAACATCTCTACACGGGGTTCAGGATCGGCAACTCAGAGCAGTGTCAGTGCAGAATCGGCAGTCAAACAGGGACACATTTGCTACAAGCAAGCCCATTGCTCGAGGCAGGGAAACCCAAAACTCTATAAGCCCCTAGAGGACCTGCAGTAAATGGCAACCTTCTTTAGATTTAGTAAGAATTCTACGGCACATGAAACACGATTAGATCATATAAGTGCCGACGATTAGAGGTGTTACAAGAGAGTAACAAACACAAAAAGAGGGAGGAAAGAAAAGGACAATCAACGTTTTTTGTTTAATTAAGCAAGAGTCTTATGGCACTGGCAACACGATTAGGTTTTATAAGTGCCGAAGACTAAAGGTGTTACAAGAGAGTAACAAACACAAAAAGTAGGAAGAAAGATGAGGATAATAGATGTTCCATTGGAAAGAAAGAGCAAACCACACCAAAGCACACACCAATCTTCACACCAGAGACTGATATGTCCATTTAAAAACGAAGAAGGAGGAGAAGGAGAAGGAGAAGGAGAAGGAGAAGGAGAAGGAGAAGAAGAAGAAGAAGAAGAAGAAGAAGAAGAAGAAGAAGAAGAAGAAGAAG